CATCGTGGTGGGGACATGGGGACGCGCTGGGTGACACCGTGGTGGGGACGTGGGTACGGAGTGGGTGACACCGTGGTGGGGACATGCAGACACGTTGGGTGGCACCGTGGTGGGGACGTGGGCACAGGGTGGGGGACACCATGGTGGGGATGTGGGTATGGAGTGGGTGACACCGTGGTGGGGATATGGAGACACGGTGGGTGGCACCATGGTGGGGACGTGGGCATGGGGCTGGGGACTTTGTGGTGGGGACATGGGGAGACATTGGGTGGCACCGTGGTGGGGACGTGGGCACGGAGTAGGTGCCACCCTGTTGGGAACATGGGGACAGGCTGTAGGGCACCGCAGCAGCCACAGGCTGGGGGACACCACACTGGGGACAAGGACACGGGCTGGGGGTCACCACCACGGGGACACAGGGGGTGGCACCACCCTGGGGACACAGGCATGGCCTAGATGCCACCACGATGGGGACATGGGCACAGGCTGGGGGTGACCACAATGGAGACAAGGGCTGGGGGGCCACCACCATGGGGACATGGGCGTGGACATGTATGGGGTGGCACCTGGGGACACGGGCACAGACGGGGGGGCACCACAGCGGAGATGGGGACGTGGACTGGGGGGCCACCACCATGGGGACATGGGCGTCGAGACATAGGGGGTGGCACCACCACGGGGACGTGGGCACGGCCTAGGTGCCACCACGATGGAGACATGGGCGCAGACCGGGGCCACGGGCACGGGGGTGACGTGGCCCTGTCACCGGGAGGACGGCGTCACCCGACGGTGCCCCCGCCGTCCCCCAGGCTTCTCCATCGAGGGCCCGTCGCAGGCCAAGATCGAGTGCGACGACAAGGGGGACGGCTCCTGCGACGTGCGCTACTGGCCCACGGAGGCGGGGGAGTACGCCGTCCACGTGGTGTGCGACGACGAGGACATCAAGGACAGCCCCTTCATCGCCCACATCCTGCCCGCCCCCGGAGACTCCTGGCCCGAGAAGGTAGCGCCGCGCCCCGTAGCACCCCGCCGTGCCCCATAGCACCCCACTGTGCCCCATTGCACCCCGTAGAACCCCATAGCACCTCGCTGCACCCCGCAGCACCCCGCTGTGCCCTGCTGTGCCTCATTGCACCCCGTAGCACCCCGCTGCACCCCATTGCACCCCATAGCACCCCGTTGCACCCCATAGCACCCCGCTGTGCCCCGCAGCACCCCATAGAACCCCATAGCACCCCATAGCACCTCGCTGCGCCCCGCAGCACCCTGCTGTGCCCTGCTGTGCCCCATTGCACCCCGTAGCACCCCGCTGTGCCCCATAGCAACCCGTAGAACCCCATTGCACCCCATAGCACCCTGCTGTGCCCCATTGCACCCCATAGAACTCCGTTGCACCCCATAGCACCCCACTGTGCCCCATTGCACCCCGTAGAACCCCATAGCACCTCGCTGTGCCCTGCTGTGCCTCATTGCACCCCGTAGCACCCTGCTGCGCCCCATTGCCCCCCATAGCACCCCGTTGCACCCCATAGCACCCCGCTGTGCCCCGCAGCACCCCATAGAACCCCATAGCACCCCATAGCACCTCGCTGCGCCCCGCAGCACCCTGCTGTGCCCTGCTGTGCCCCATTGCACCCCGTAGCACCCCGCTGCGCCCCATTGCACCCTGTAGCACCCCGCTGTGCCCCATAGCAACCCGTAGAACCCCATTGCACCCCATAGCACCCTGCTGTGCCCCATTGCACCCCATAGAACTCCGTTGCACCCCATAGCACCCCACTGTGCCCCATTGCACCCCGTAGAACCCCATAGCACCTCGCTGTGCCCTGCTGTGCCTCATTGCACCCCGTAGCACCCTGCTGCGCCCCATTGCCCCCCATAGCACCCCGTTGCACCCCATAGCACCCCGCTGTGCCCCGCAGCACCCCATAGAACCCCATAGCACCCCATAGCACCTCGCTGCGCCCCGCAGCACCCTGCTGTGCCCTGCTGTGCCCCATTGCACCCCGTAGCACCCCGCTGCGCCCCATTGCACCCTGTAGCACCCCGCTGTGCCCCATAGCAACCCGTAGAACCCCATTGCACCCCATAGCACCCTGCTGTGCCCCATTGCACCCCATAGAACTCCGTTGCACCCCATAGCACCCCACTGTGCCCCATTGCACCCCGTAGAACCCCATAGCACCTCGCTGTGCCCTGCTGTGCCTCATTGCACCCCGTAGCACCCTGCTGCGCCCCATTGCCCCCCATAGCACCCCGTTGCACCCCATAGCACCCCGCTGTGCCCCGCAGCACCCCATAGAACCCCATAGCACCCCATAGCACCTCGCTGCGCCCCGCAGCACCCTGCTGTGCCCTGCTGTGCCCCATTGCACCCCGTAGCTTTGGGGGCCGTTGGGCGCCGTTGGGTGCCGTTGGGCGCCATTGAGTACCGTTGGGTGCCGTTGGGCGCCATTGAGTGCCGTTGGGCGCCATTGAGTGCCGTTGGGCGCCGTTGGGTGCCGTTGGGCACCATTGAGTGCCATTGAGTGCCGTTGGGTGCTGTTGGGCGCCATTGAGTGCTGTTGGGCGCCATTGGGTGCTGGCGGGTCCCCTCACCCCCACCCGGTGCCCGTAGGACGCCGAGGGCTTCCCCATCGACATCAAGGTGAAGGACAACGGGGACGGCACCTACCGCTGCGTCTACGTACCCACCAAGGCCATCAAGCACACCGTCATCGTCACCTGGGGGGGTGTCACCACCCCCCGCAGCCCCTTCCGCGTGGGTGCCATGGGGGGCCCATGGGGTGCTGGGGTGGCTGTGGAGGGCCCGTGGGGTGCTGGGCATGGAGATGGGGGTCCATGGGGTGATGGAGATGGGGGTCCCATGGGGATGGGGTGCCAGGGTGGGGCTGGGGGTCCCATGGGGTGATGGGGATGGAGACAGGGTGTCAGGGGTGGAGACAAGGGTCCCATGGGGTGATGGACATGGGGATGGGGTGCTGGGCATGGAGATGGGGGTCCCGGACCCCTAGGGTGCTGGGGTGGGGAAGGGGGTCCCATGGGGTGACGGACACAGGGACGGGGTGCCAAGGGTGGAGACGGCACCCCGGGTGCCCGCTGGCGACGCTCCATGTGCCCACAGGTGAACGTGGGCGAGGGCAGCCACCCCGGCAAGGTGAAGGTCTACGGGCCGGGCGTGGAGAAGACGGGGCTGAAGGCCAATGAGCCCACCTACTTCACCGTTGACTGCAGCGAGGCCGGGCAGGGTGGGTACCCACCACAGGGGGCACCCGCCACCCACAGGGACCCCTCTGTGGGCATGACACCCATGTCCTTCATCCCTGGTCCTGGTCCGTCATCCCTGGTCCTGCTCCGTCATCCCTGGTCCTGCTCCTTCATCCCTGCTCCTTCATCCCTGGTCCCAGTCCTTCATCCCTGGTCCATCATCCCGATCCTTCATCCCTGGTCCCGGTCCATCATCCCTGGTCCTTCATCCCTGGTCCTTCATCCTTGGTTCTTCATCCCTGCTCCCAGTCCATCACCCCTGGTCCATGGTCTTGGTTCTTCATCCCTGGTCTTGGTTCTTCATCCCTGGTCCCAGTCCTTCACCCCTGGTCCATCATCCCTGGTCCCGGTCCATCATCCCTGGTTCTGGTCCTTCATCCCTGGTCCATCATCCCTGGTCCTGGTCCATCATCCCTGCTCCTTCACCCCTGCTCCTTCATCCCTGGTCTTGGTCCTTCATCCCTGGTCCTTCATCCCTGCTCCTTCATCCCTGGTCCCAGTCCTTCACCCCTGCTCCTTCATCCCTGGTCCCGTTCCATCATCCTGCTCCTTCATCCTTGGTTCTTCATCCCTGCTCCCGGTCCATCACCCCTGGTCCATGGTCCTGCTCCTTCATCCCTGGTCTTGGTTCTTCATCCCTGGTCCCAGTCCATCATCCCTGCTCCATCATCCCTGGTCCCAGTCCTTCACCCCTGCTCCTTCATCCCTGGTCCCGTTCCATCATCCTGCTCCTTCATCCTTGGTTCTTCATCCCTGCTCCCGGTCCATCACCCCTGGTCCATGGTCCTGCTCCTTCATCCCTGGTCTTGGTTCTTCATCCCTGGTCCCAGTCCATCATCCCTGCTCCATCATCCCTGGTCCCAGTCCTTCACCCCTGCTCCTTCATCCCTGGTCCCGTTCCATCATCCTGCTCCTTCATCCTTGGTTCTTCATCCCTGCTCCCGGTCCATCACCCCTGGTCCATGGTCCTGCTCCTTCATCCCTGGTCTTGGTTCTTCATCCCTGGTCCCAGTCCTTCACCCCTGCTCCTTCATCCCTGGTCCCGTTCCATCATCCTGCTCCTTCATCCTTGGTTCTTCATCCCTGCTCCCGGTCCATCACCCCTGGTCCATGGTCCTGCTCCTTCATCCCTGGTCTTGGTTCTTCATCCCTGGTCCCAGTCCTTCACCCCTGCTCCTTCATCCCTGGTCCCGTTCCATCATCCTGCTCCTTCATCCTTGGTTCTTCATCCCTGCTCCCGGTCCATCACCCCTGGTCCATGGTCCTGCTCCTTCATCCCTGGTCTTGGTTCTTCATCCCTGGTCCCAGTCCTTCACCCCTGCTCCTTCATCCCTGGTCCCGTTCCATCATCCTGCTCCTTCATCCTTGGTTCTTCATCCCTGCTCCCGGTCCATCACCCCTGGTCCATGGTCCTGCTCCTTCATCCCTGGTCTTGGTGGGCCCGTGTCCGTGGGTGTCTGGGGGTCCGTGTCCGTGGGTGCCGTGGGGCGGGGGCTGTGGGGCAGGGACCATGGGTGCCGTGGGGCTGGGTGATGGAGGGCAGGGATGCTGGGTGCTGTGGGGCAGAGAATGTGGGGGCTGTGGGGCTGGGTGCTTGTCCGTGGGTGCCATGGGTTCGTGTCCTGTGGGTGCTGTGGATCTGTGTCCGTGGGTGTCTGTGGGCTTGTGTCTGTGGGTCCGTGTCCGTGGGTCCGTGTCCGTGGGTGTCTGTGGGTCCGTGTCCGTGGGTGCCGTGGGGCGGGGGCTGTGGGGCAGGGACCATGGGTGCCGTGGGGCTGGGTGATGGAGGGCAGGGATGCTGGGTGCTGTGGGGCAGAGAATGTGGGGGCTGTGGGGCTGGGTGCTTGTCCGTGGGTGCCATGGGTTCGTGTCCTGTGGGTGCTGTGGATCTGTGTCCGTGGGTGTCTGTGGGCTTGTGTCTGTGGGTCCGTGTCCGTGGGTCCGTGTCCGTGGGTGTCTGTGGGTCTGTGTCCTTGGGTCCGTGGGTGCCGTGGGTCCATGTCCGTGGGTGCCATGGGTCCGGGTCCATGGATCCGCATCTGTGGGTGCCGTGGGTCTGTGTTCATGGGTCTGTGGGTGCCATGGTGCCATGGGTGCTGTGGGTCCGTGTCCGTGGGTCTGTGTTCATGGTGCCATGGGTGCCGTGGGTCCGTGTCCTTGGGTCTGTGTCCGTGGGTGTCTGTGGGTCCGTGTCCGCGGGTCTGCGTCCTTGGGCACTGCGGGTCCGTGGGCGCCGCGAGTCCGTGTCCGTGGGTCCGTGTCCGTGGGTCCGTGTCCGTGGGCGCCGCGGGTC